CAGTGATGGAGGGAGCCGTGGGACAAGTGCTCAGTCTTTGGCCCATCTGCAGGGAGACACGATCCATATCTTACAATGTGTTTAGTTCAGACATTTCATTAAGTGGAATATTGTCAGCAGGATTCAGGGGAAAAGTGCTTATGGATGCCGTGATGGAGGAGGCTTGGTTTCAGATGCACCACGGTAAATACCTCCATGTCTTGAATTTTCCATCAGGGGAGACGGATTCTCACTGGCTTAAACTTCCCAGGCATTGAAGACGGGCGTTGTAAACCAGTTTCTAATGAAATCTGCAAATAAAATTTCAAGTGGGGAGAGCCTACCTTGCAGAGTACAAATTTCCTGAGCTTCCTGCTTTGGGTTTGATTTTTGGCTTTTCCCAGCACTGACTTGAGATGCTTTGGTCTCCTTTCCAACAGGAAAGGGACAGCGACGGAAGCAGCCACAGCAAGTTCCCTGGGGCCACTTCTGTGCAGGTCTCGGCTGCCACGGGCCTCAGCCTCGGGCCCCTGCAGGGGTGGGTCCTCCAGGTGCGCCCTGCTCCTCTTGATCTTGGACGCCTGCCCTCACTTCACGGCTCTGCCAGGGTCCGAGTTGACCTGCTTTAATTCTCAACCCTCCATGGGTAAAAGGAGCCCAGCATGGAGGACAAAATCTGGGGTACCTGAGACGGAGCCTGTTCCCCCTCAGGAGAGCCCCATGCAGACCCCTGGGGGCCTTTCTCGATGCCAGCACCCTGATGCTCCTGGGCACACCACTGTGCCTGGGCTGCACCTCTGTGCCCCCTGGGGAAAGGCCACACTGTGTGTCTGGGGGCCTCTCCAAAGCAGCCCCATCAAGGGGGATCTACCTGCCTGAATCACTCGGAATCCCAGTGCAGGTCAGGGGACAAGGGTCAAGGTCTAGATCAAGGTTAACATGGAGAAACATGGCCAGGAAGTGCCCCGTGCTGCCTCTTTTCCCTGTGCCTGCAGCATTTTACCTTAAGAGCAGATTTGACCCGAAAGGTGTCCAGGTGGCTGGACTCAGGCACAGCATGGGAGAGGGAGGGAGGCCTGACTGGCTGGCCCCGGGCCAGGGCCTCTGGGGGTCTGGAGTCAGCCTCTGAGCTGACTCTGAGCTCCACCAGGAAGAGGCTCTGGGCATGGGACAGGGGTGGACTTGCCTGGTCCGGCCGCAGGGAGGCTGAAGACAGTGAGGAGCAGGAGGCTGCCCTGGAGAAGGGCCGACTGGGCACAGCAACAGAGGGGAGCAGTATCCAGGGCTGGGGCTGCGAGGCTCCAGGAGAGGAAGGGCCACCACACCTCCCATGAGCACTGGAGGCAGGAGCCGGGCCTGGGAGGGTGCTCCCTGAAGGTCATGTGGAGGACAAGCTGGCTAGGAGCCTTGCATCCGTTGGAATGTTTGCACAGATCTTAAAATATGAATGTATTTCTCCGTTTGCATATTGCCCCTGCTTCCGTGAAATGTGATTAAAATTCATGTCTTGGCCTCGCCTCTCTGGTCAGGTATGGGATGGGAGCCCGTGCCAAGGAGACCAATGGCTTGCCCGATACGGCAGTTCCCGTGATTTAGGGTGATTACGACCGGGCTGTAATGAGTGCATATTAAGCTCTCCTTCAAAGCCTAGAGAACATTTGATTCATAAACAAATTACTCTGAGCTGTAATGCAGGAGAAAGAAATAGCAGCTAATTTAACCAGTGAATCAATGGCGAGACAGCACCGCATGGATCACGCGATCGCAAGCATAATGGAGAAGATGGAGGTAATAACCAGAGGCCAGAGTCTCCCGAGGCTGACCCAGCCCCGCGGGCCTCGCACTGGACTCCAGGCCCGGCTGTGGGGGGGCGGCAGCAGCGGGGCCCAGCCATGAAGAACTGCTTTGTCTGGGAAGAGGTTGGGAGGAAAGGCAGGGGCAGCTGGAGTGGCCTCCAGTCCAGCAGATGCCTGCCCCCCGACAAGCCCGAGGGGGGAACGTCGACCACTCGTGCCCTGGGAAGAGCTGGCCCTGGGGTCAGCCAGATGCGAGTGCAGAGCCAGGCTCCCTCCTGTCACTCGGGGCGATGGACAGAGGACGGCCCTTCTGAGCCCCGGGTTTGCTTCTGGAGGATGGACAGAAGGCCTGCTCCGCAGAGCTCGTGCCCCCGAGCCTCGCCAGGGGTGAGCGCGGGCTCAGAGCCTGGACGAGCCACCGGAACGGCCTCCGGAACGTAGTGAAGACCTGCGTGCCCCAGCGTCTGGCTGCCCCGTGGGCTGACAGGAGGATCGGAAAACACCGGTGACAGGCCACCCCGGGCACCGTGAGCGCTCGCCTGGGGCTGTGCCTCACGACCTCGTCCTGGGGTCTGAGCAGGGCCATGGTGCCCTGCCCGGGAGCCGCTGCAGGGGCTGCTCCCTGCTCCCCCAGACGCCCCTCTTCTCGGTGGAAGCCCGGGCTACGCTCTCCCGGAGCCCTCAGCCGTCCGAGGCGGACCCCGGAGCTCCTCAGAAGCACGGCCGGGATCCCCTTCCCACCCCACAGCTGGGGTAGAGGGGTCCAGGCAGCCACTCCCAGGTGTCCCAGGGTGCGAAGTGCTCCAGATGACGGGCAGGGGAGGGAGGGCTCCCTGCCTGCGGCCCCCACTCACCTCTGCGGATGGCCGCGGGGGCTGCGCTCGGAGGCCCCCGCCCTACCTGGCCAGCTCACCTGATTTCTCTCGCACACAACTTCCTTGCTCCGCCTACCTCCCAAGTCCAACACGCCCGGTCTGAACATGGCTGGACTCGCCGGCCTGGGCACCCCTGTCCTCTGACCTGTCCGTCATGGCTGGACACCCCACTTCTCATTTCAGGAGTGGGGGGGCTCCGAGCTCTTCCCGACAGCATTATGCAAATACCCACCTGCCAAAAATAGGCCTCCCGTTGCACAAGGGCACGCCAAGACGTCCCCTCCCATTTGCTCAGCCTCTAAATCAAGGTTTTATGATGCCAGAGAGTTTGCCCAGTCACCAGTCGAGTGATTTTTATGGGATTCATTTTTCTGAAGGGAAAGAGGGAGGTGAGAGAGGAGCCATTAGCCTGCCGTTTCAGAGGATAAACACAGAGAGCCAAAAAAGGAAATGCAAATAGTTCTAAAGGTAACTGCCTGCTGGAAGCCACTGGAGAAGAGCAGTGCAGGGCTGCCCTCCGTCAGAGTCCACCACGTCCAGACGGCAGGCTGCCGGGGCCGGGCCTGCTGGGACCCCCCGGAGCCCCAGGCTCTGTGGTTGCAGGGTTACGGTTCCACGTGGAGG